CGGGGGGGTCTGTGCAAAGTTGTGTCTTTGTGTTTCTCATGGAACTGTGCTTTATTTGCTCATGGTTTTTTCTCTCATTTTGCACACGTTAAATATTTACTACGTCATGACAATATCAACACAAAATCAAGAAAAAGAGTTAGAACTTTATATGAGCACAGAAAGCACACACTACAGTAGATCAATAGATCAATCGATCAATCGATCAATCGATCAATAGATAGATAGATAGATAGGTAGATAGATAGATAGGTAGGTAGGTAGGTAGGTAGGTAGGTAGGTAGGTAGGATAGCCCTTAGTACTGAGAAGCATTGTTATTGACAAAGGTTTATTTCTCTTTTTTAAACTCATTCTGGCTGAAGCGCGTTATGATACAGCAACGTCTGGGAAATCCTCCCTACGTCCCAGTCTCCTATGGCGCCAGGAGCCGTGCAGGTGAAAGCCTGCGCCCCCATGTTTGTACTGTACAAAATATCACTGACTGATAAGGTGTCACCTGACCAGAGGAATAAAGTTGTGATTGTCATACCAGCTTCTTCTTCTTTGTATCTCCACGAATGGCTTCGAAGGACGGTTGTGTGAGTGCAAGAGAAACAGTACTGCAGTACGGCAGTACACGGGCTGCAGTATTTGTAAACTAAACTCCTGTAATCTCTTCTTGACTTTTTGACGTTCACACCGATGGCTCTGTATCATTTGGTAACCCACGGCTGTGTAAAATCTAAGTCAGACGTCAGACGTCAGAGTGTGGCGTTCTCTGGAACTGAAGGTAAGGTCACATGGAACAGGAGGCAACCCAGGCTTGTGATTGGTCACGTGGGCAGTCCGGCCCGTGGATCCCGGTCCACATCAGTCCGCGTCTTATCTGGTCATCAGGACAACAGGACTCATGTCTTCCTGTGTCAGGACGCGGTTGTCGGTTCGAGTCCAAAGACCCTCAGCAGGCACATGTTTCATCCAGAACCATCTGGTCTTCCGGACGATTCTTCACCCTGGACTGCGGTTTAATAAAGACGGGGGTGAGCAGGTCCACTGGTCAGCTGTTCGGCTCAGTTTTGAATG